AGGAAGGTCACCCTCATCCTTCAGGACCTCGCTCTGACTCCCTCTTGGAGCCTAGTCACAGAATGGACATCTCTGGGGGTTCGAAAGGCTCCTCGGAATAGGACTAGCTTCTTGAGCCAATGCACCCCAAAGGGCAGGGGTGGGTCAGGCTTCTCTTAAACCTTGGAATTGAAACCATGTCTGTCTTGTCAGTCTGTCTAAAGCCCCTCGAACACTCAGCCACCCTCTGCAGATCTCAGCAGGATCAAGACAGAGAGAAAACAGACATAGGGAGCAAATCTGTTCCCCCTGCTGACAACTTAAAATCACCCCGAGAGCCCAGCCAGCAAGGCACAGTGATTGAACATTGACCTATGAACCAGGAAGCCACGGTTCAATTCCCGGTCGGGGCACATGGCCGGGTTGTGGGCCTGATCTCCAGTTGGGGGCGTGCAGGAGGCAGCTGATCAATGATTCTCATCACTGATGTTTCTATATCTCTCTCCCCCTCCTTCCTTTATGAAATCAATACAAATATATATATATATTTTTAAATATATTTATTGATTTCAGAGAGGAAGGGAGGAGGAAAGATGGAAATATCAATGATGAGAGAGAATCATTGATCGGCTGCCTCCTGCACGCCCCCTACTGGGGACCAAGCCCGCAACCCAGGCATGTGTCCTTGGCCGGAATCGAACCCGGGACCCCCCAGTCTGCAGGCTGACACTCTATCCACCGAGCCAAGTCGGCTAGGGCCAAATATATTTTAAAACGTTGAAAACTTTTACTAAAACAAATCACTCAGAGAGCCTTTCAAAGATGAAGGGGACAAGTGTCTCTGCATCGGCATTGTCTGTGCTCCCTAGTGGCCTCCCTGTGCACATAAGGTTGAGGACCACTGGCACAGAAGTCGAGAACTTACCACTGGGGTCACACTGGGCAGGTTCACTGCTGAGCCCCGAGTCCCCCTCTATGAATTAGGTGATGGCGCCCTAGCCGGCTTGGCTCAGTGGATAGAGCATTAGCCTACGGACTGAAGGATCCTAGGTTCAATTCCAGCCAAGGGCACATGCCTGGGTTGCAGGCTCGATCCCCAGTAGGGGGCGTGCAGGAGGCAGCCAATCAATGATCCTCTCTCATCATTGATGTTTCTATCTCTCTCTCCCTCTCCCTTCCTCTGAAATCAATAAAGAAATGTATTTTTTTAAAAAAAGAAATAGGTCGCCCTGTCCGGTTTGGCTCAGTGGATAGAGCGTCGGCCTGCGGACTCAAGGGTCCCAGGTTCGATTCCGGTCAGGGACATGTGCCTTGGTTGCAGGCACATCCCCGGTGTGGGGTGTGCAGGAGGCAGCTGATCGATGTTTCTCTCTCATCGATGTTTCTAGCTCTCTATCCCTCTCCCTTCCTCTCTGTAAAAATTCAATAAAATATATTTTAAATTAAAAAATAAAAATAATAGAAAAAGAAATAGGTGATGGCAGCAGCCATGAACTACCCAGGACAGAAAGCTTAGAATAGATAAGCATCATGTGGCCCTGGGCGCATTCCTACCTGGGTAGGGCAGAGGCCATCCACATCCTGGAAGTACAAGAGGCCTCCGTGGTCAGGATCCCATCCAGAGCGGAAAGGTAACAATAGGAACTTGTCAATAATGTGGGCTCGAAGTTCAGGGTCACCTTTTCGGGTGGCGTGACGGAGCAGGAACCATCCAGCTTCTAGTGCGTGGCCTGGTGAAGGCTCAGGGTAAGGTAGGCAGTGGATTCTCCCCTACGCAGGGAGGCTCAAGCCCTGTGTTGACCACTGTGCCTGCCTTCCTCCCTAACAGTGGGAGCTGCTCTGAGCTCCCTGCCCCACCCAACAGCCTCTCCCATGCAGAAAACTCACCCCCAGCCCACCCCAGACTACCTCTTGCTGACACCCCAGCCTGGATGGCACCCGGCCCACCCTGCTCCTCACCTGCATTCTGGTGTCTCCCCAGGCAACCGGGGAGTTCCTTGCCATCCTCTGACACATTCTCCAACACAGCCTGCCCATCCCTCTGCCAGGGGAAGAGAAGGGAATTCTGCCTTCAGCCTCCCACCATCCAACCAGAAAGACCCTCCTTCCCTCCATAATCTGCAAGCTTGGGCAAGCCTGGCTCAGAGGTGCGTTTGAGGAGGGGCCAGTTCACTCCCAGGAGTCCAGAAAGCTTGTAACCCTTGCTTTAGGCCTGCCCTCCCCCCTCCAAGAAGGAAAAGGTGAAACACCGAAGAGGACTGGAATCGGACGGTCT